TCATCTGGTGAGATCGACAAACGAATCTCTTCATCATGAACTTTCATTCGAAATGAAGGTCCCCCTAACATTATTTGGTTCTTTATTCATTTTATTGTGTAATATTTGACTCGTTCCTTGATCACCATTAGATAATTATGGTGACTAAAATTCTTGGACAAAGGCTTAACATGGTACCCGCGATATTCAAGCGCACGAGCTTTTGTTGTCAATTTAGAAAAGCCAATGACTAAATTTCGCCCAGTTTTCTTCATACAATGAAATACACAAATCAAGCCGTCTCGTCAACACCATACAGTAGTGGCGGTCGTGGACTTGTGTTGCAAAGTAATAAGGAGGTATAAGGGTAGTTGCTAGTCGGCAGATAGATCTGTCTTGTGAGCCTGCATAAAGCAGTTCTGGGGATTACGCCGTACCCTGTCGGATCCTGGAAGGCGATCATCAGCCAGTGGAGAGTTCCGCCTCTGCAAGACTCTATTCATCTAGGAAGAGTTAACTAGAGATTATGATTTGGCTTTCGTTGCCAACTCGTCAGCTGGAGGAGAGCAAATGCTCACATAAAAATCCAGTTTAGTTAACTTGTAGGAGCCGGTTGGATTTTCCGTGATGCGTGCATTGGAGAAATGTAACAAGCTCTCTAGCTCTGAAGACGTGAGCTTTACACCAGACTGGCCTGCCTCTATTGTGCACTTTAATGCTCACGAGAGCTCGACTGTTTTGCTGGGGTCACTTGTATGGCCGAGAACTCGGTGGCCGGAAGCGAGATTATTTGCTCTTTTAATCAGCAGCAAGGCGCTGTGGCCACTTCCGTAAGGAGTTTGGTTTCTATAAAAGCACACAAGGCTGAAGACGACTGCATTTCTCAAAGAGCGCTGTACGGACGAGCTTCCACGTCGCGAAGGTGAGCCATCCAAGAAGTTGGACATTGCTTTTGCCTTAGCTTTTTTGGTCATCAGTCACCGGGACACCTACACTTTTTTAATTATTATTCCATTTTGTTTTTGTTTAAACTAATTAGTTTGCCTCTTATCCAGTTTCTACCATGTTGTATTATATTATTTCATAATTTATTATCATATTATACTAATATTACTATTAAGAGCCCTACTGTAGTCACCCTTGGTCGGTTAAGATGATAAATTGTTTCACAACGATACGAGTAGGCTTCACCCCTAACGGGGATAAAATCTTAGAAAAAGAGTATATTTTCCACATTTTACACGAATGCCAC